CACACACACACACACACACACACACACACACACACACACACACACACCTGAGGGAGGAGCAGCCTTGCTAGGCCACAGAGGAGGACATTGCAGCCAGTCCTGATGAGACCTGATAAACTAGGGTCAGATGAAGGGGAGGAGGACCTCCCCTATCAGTGGACTTAGAGAGGGGCAGAGAAGAGATGAGGAAGGGTGGGTGGGATTGGGAGGGAGTGAGGGAGGGAGATACAGCTGGGATACAAAGTAAATAACCTGCAAATAATATAAAAAATAAAAAATTATTAAAAAAAAAGAGCCCTTTACACAGGGTGGAGACAGCAGGCAGCTCTGCCCCCTTCAGTGCCTGGCCGGCGGGAAGGGCTGAGCTGTCACAGCAGTGCCATCTTCTGGAGCCTGCTCAAAGGACCTGGTTGAGGCCCCTGGTGGGGGAAAGCAGCTTCTTTTCAGAAATGAACCCATGGTGGACACTTGTTTTATTTTATTATCGGTTGCTTGTGCACAGATAACATACCACAAACGTTCCTTCCTCTTGTGAAAACTATTTAGCGTCTAGGCTCTATGTTTTCGGAAGTCTCCCTGAAGCCCTGAGTTTTTTTGGGAAGTCTTTGGATTCTTCTGCAGTGTCCTTATCTCAGTGTGTGTTTACTAGGTAAGAAGGGCATGTCAGCTCCATTACGAACTTAGGGAACCGTCGCTATGTATGAGCTCTGTCTTTAACCAAAATGTGATTACAACAAACAATGATTACATGCAAAGAACTCAAAAGTCTCTTGACAGAAAAATGGATTTAAAAAAATAAATATTATGACTAGTAATTTCACTGAAGAAGATATACAAATGGCCAGTAGGTTCATAAAATAATGCTAGCCCTCACTAATCATAGAAATAAAATTTAAAACCTTAATAACTGCTACTTTGTAACATGTATACTAAAGTTGGAATGAAACAGAGATGAGGAGCTTGACCCTTGAACAATGACATCATGAAAATTTATATTTCACGTTCTTACCAAAGCCATTCTACAAAGTCCAACACCAGAACATGATAAAGACATAACAATAATAAAAAAAACTACAGACCCATTTCCCTGGAGAACATAGATAAAAACTCAAAAACTCTCCACAGAAACTAGCAAACAGAATTAAACGAACATGTTATGAGGATCACATACTGACAACAAGTTGATTTAATTCCAAAAATATAAGAATTTTCCAACATAGTAAACCAACAATATAGTTGGACACAAAGACAGAAATCATATGATAATAAGATCTACAAACTCAAAATTTCTACAAAAGAATACAGATATAATAAGAGGTAGACATGCACAAGGATTTTTTTTTTCTGAAAAGGATTCTAACAGCACAAGAAATTGCCTAAGCGTTAACAGAGGGAACACATGAACTTAAAGCTTCTGTGCCTCAAGGACAGAGCATCAGCATGAGAAGATACCTAAAATCAGAAACATTCTTCCAACTACTCCACAACAGAAAGGGGATTAATATCAAGAATATATAAAGAACTGCAGAAGTTAAACTCAAATCCCGTATCATTTCACAAATGATGAACTGAATAAATGGTTTTTAAAAGAAAAAATACAGATGTCCAATAGCTACTTGGAAAGGTGTCTATTATCCTTAGACATTAGGGAAATGCAAATGAAGCCATTTTGTATTCTATCTTATCCTACTTAGCATGGCTATGATCAAAACAAACAACAACAAAAACAAACCAACACAACAACAAAAACCAAATGACAACCAAAGCTGCCTAAGATGTAGAGAAAGAGAAACCCTTGTTTACTATTGATAGGAATGTAGACTGGTGCAGCCACTTTGGAAATCAACATGGAAGCTTTTCATCAAAGCTAAAATAGGAGTAGGAGGACTCAAAGTCAAACACCAAAGGGATACTTGCATATCTTAGCACTTAGCTTACTGTAGAACCATTCGCCATAACCAAAACGATCAATCGACCTAAGGAACCACAACAGATAAATGAGTAAAGAAAATGTGGTGAACATATACAATGGAGGTCATCTAGTCACTAGAATCAAGTTATTTAACATGTTTTCTCTTACACACACACACACACACACACACACACACACACATGCACAGCAGGAGAGCAGAGTAAGATGTGTATGAAGAAAGAAACACTTATATATGGAATCTGAAAAACAAAAATAAATAAAGAAACAACTGACCTCACAGGAGCAGGGAGAAGAGGCTCCCGCCCACTGTGTGGGTCAGTGGAGGCAAAATCCAAGGGAGAGTAATTAGTGTGTAACATGCTTGAAAACCACTGAGAGTGGAGAATTATAAGTAGGTAGGGGCACACATGGTAATTAGTCCAGTTTAGCCATTCCACGACATCCACATATTCCAAACATGTTGTATGTGTAACTATGAACAGCTTTTAGTCAGTTTAAAAGTGAGTCAATAAGGAAAAGCTAGTTAAGTCAACTGACAGAAATAAATTAACTTTAAAAGAATATTTCTCAGGTCCCACTCTAGATATAATCAATCAGTGTGTGATTTTTAAGGTTCCCAGGCGAATTTTACAGAGGTGTAGTCTACGAATAAGAAGTGTCAACACCACCTCGTTCCTAGGTTTCACCTCCAACTTGTAGAATGAATTTGTGTATGTGTGTGCGTGTGCGTGTATGCACGTATACCTTGCACCCAGGTACACATTTTAACAAGTGCGCAGTGCAACTTATGGCAGTCTTGGTCTGCAAAGTAGCATAGGGATCTTTCCTCTTGGGGACCTTGGACTAGAGCTCTCGGTGCTCTTTTGAAGCTTTACTGCCTGTGTCCTGGCCGTGTGGCTCATGGTGCATCTAGAATTATCCAGAAGGAAGACAAATCAATCAATTTTTGTTTCTTGCTGCATGAGATTTACAGTAAAGGTTTTGGAGAGGACACACAATTAGAGAGGGGCCTTTCGGATCACTGATTACAGAATCCTACGACATCATTTCCTCCATGTCTGGGGTTAATTAGAAGAGGACTATAAAACAATTCCTCTAGAAAGGCTTTGAGATGTATGACATAACGCTGCTATGCACAACAGCGAAGGACACACATCACAGCCCAGGAAAGTAAAGACTGCCCTCAGTGAGCTTGACGTATGGTGAGTGCTCAAGCAAAACCCTTTTGGAAAGCTAGAGATCAGTTTGCTTAGTGACCTGCCAAGTCTGCAACTGTCCTCCAATTTCACACAACTTAGCTATCATGGGAAGCATGACCAGGTGTCAGAAATTATTCATCATTCGCTCATTAGTGCATACCTTAATCTCTGAATATGAGTTTCTTTAGCACTCTGAAATAAACATGAAAGTTCCTGAGAAAGTACATTTCAAATCATACAATTACAGACAGTACTTTTCCCTCCAGGAAACTGTACACATTTTGAAAAGATGTCCACAATAAAGAACACTATGCTCTTCAGATAATAGCAGAAGGTAAACATTTTAATTAGCAGGAAGAGTTATTTTTTCAAACACTACCAATAACTTTGGCCACCATCCCCTCCCCCCACACCTGCTGAAATGTGCTGAAAAAAAGGGCTGGGGTGAGAGGTGAGTTCATGAAAGAGAAAGTAACAGTAATAGGCAGCATCCACAGGCTCCAACAGAAGCAATGAATAAATGAATGAATGAGTGAATGAATGAATGAATGAATACATGAAAAAAATTGTCCTTGGAAGTGCAAGCACTTCTGCAGAACAATTAACTTAATTAACCAGACATGATGAATATTCATAAGGCTGTTAATGTCTCCCACATCCAGGCAGATAAATGTGATGTAATGACTTCCTAGCCAAGCATATCTAAAATTCTCAGGGAAGCAGCACCTTCAGCTCAGTTCTTTGCCTTAAATATCATAGAAATTAACAGCCCCTCGGCAGTATTTTATTCTCTTCAAATTAATTGGAAAGCATGAAATTTATTTATGCAAACTCCGTAGGAATATATGGTCCCGAGCCTTCAGTGTGTGGATTAAGTCTTGTTTTACAACAACCGGATTGCTGTTTTATTTTTATGTCCTCTCAGGCTTTTCTTGCTAGCCCCCCCCCATTCCCTTCTAATCAGCTTCTGTTTGTGTAGTTCCTTAGCACCAGTTACCATAGCAACAAACACCATTCCTAATGGCCAGCAGTTCAAATACAGGCTTTCCCACATCTGATACATTTGAGTCTGATGATAATTCGGCAGCTTAGTCTGTTGGCTTAGTGGAGTCATTTACTAAACACGGTCCCTCTGGTGTCTCTCTCCAGGAGGCAAATGGCTTCAAAGGCAGATTGTCTCCTCATGGACAGCTTGGAAACTTCCTGCCTAGCTCTTGTTCCCCTTCTTCATCAGAAGCCCTGACTAGGCATAGCATCCTTATATTAAACAACCCACACATGACTGTCCTTTACAATTAGAGAGAATTAGCAAGCTGCAACTCCTATCCAACTGCCAGAGTTTGGCAGCCTGATGCATCTTCAAAACAAAAAGATGACAGTGCCATTCCTGGAAATAGCTACTGAATTATAGGATATTCTCGAATAAGAAATACGCTTTGAAACTAAGGGAGGGGGCACACTCAATGCCTCAACATTATGCCTCTGTGAAATTGGTTACATATTACAGACAAGAACATGATGACCAATTTTTATAACCCGCTCCCCTCCATATCTGATGCACACTTCTGAGAAGCTGCCCTTTCCATCTCTGAGCTGTGGTGGTTAGCGAATGACCTCAGAGATCTAAGCGCTAATGAGACAAACAGCAGCCTGGGCACATTCACTGCCAGGAAGCTTCCCCTAGCCACAGGCAGGACTACTAAAATGACATGGAAGGGTCAAAAAATAAAATGACATGAAGCAATCATACAAAATGCATCTTCCCCACCCCGCTCTTTTTATCAAGGCTATTTTATTATCATCTTCAAGACCATTATTGTTTTTTATAAGTACCTTAAATTGTCAAGACGTATTCTAATCTCCCCCTTTAAATTATTGGTTTTGTGAAAGACCAATTCAAAAACCAAAAAAATTATTGGTTTTATAATTTACAAAGGTATTTGGATCTATTTCTTTTTTCTCTTTAATATTTCTGCAAGTACCTACTGAATAACATATACACTTGCAAAATCACAGATATGCCTTATAATAATAAAAGCCTAAAACTAATCTCCTAGGGATCCATTCACATGTTAAACACGTAAGTACAACTGTCCTTGGGATAGCAAAATTCCAGCATAGATATGGTTATAAACAGAACACTGGATTTTCTTTAAGCTACACACTTTTTGTTCATAAGAAAAAAATTCCTTTTGCTGTCTTAACAATTTTTGTATATTTTTGTGTTGGTTAGTTTTATGTCAACTTGACAGAAGCCAGAGTCATTTGGGGAGAAAGCATGTTCCTTGAAATAGTGCCCCACCATACTAGCTTGTAGGCATTCTATTGACTGGTGATTGACGTGAGAGCCCAACTCACCATGTATCACGTCACTACTGGGCAGGTGGCCTGGATACCATAACCAAGCAGGCTGAACAACCGTGGAGAGCAAGCGAGTGACTGGCACTCTTCTGTGGCCTCGGCTGTATTTCTTGCGTCCGGGTCCCTTCCTCAAGTTCCTGCCCTGACTTCCATTCACACTATACTACAAGCTCTGAGATGAAAGCCCTTTCCATCGTCAGGCTGCTTTTGGTCATGGTGTTTCATCACAGCAACAAAAACTCTAACTGAAAGTAGCCAGTTTCCTCTACTATTGCTCAGTGGTGTGAGGGAACTATGTACAAAATCAAGGATTCTTTTCTGAACCAGTCCTGCTTCGTTTTCCTGGCTCTGACCTCTTTCTCCCAACATTTTCGCAAGTAAAAGTTACTGCATCAAAAGGAACTCTCCTGAACTAGGAGCCATCAAATGCTTCCCCTAATCTGAAACATCCCATCATTCTTTACTGTTTCTCAGATTCCACTCAGACTGCCTTCTGTGGCATGTATTGAGTGTTCATCACCTGCTATGACACATCATCCCCCATGACTGGCTCTCTTCCTATTCCTCAGCTGCTCCTAGGGTGTACCTTAGTATCATTTCCATGCCATGGTGAAGTCTACATTTCAGGCGTTACTTACTCAATATATGTTCTGTGCGCACACAACTCAAAAAACAGTAGCATACTCCTTATGCTAAGGGCTTGGGAATACGACTGGGCTAAGAGGTGAAGAGCATAAGGGCTTGAACTGTCTAGGACCTGGGTTCTCGCTCCAGGCAGAAGGAATCACCTAGTGTTCTCTAGGTTATCTATTGAAGTTACAATTACCCGAGTCCCACATTTCACCTCACAGGACATGGTAAACATCATACTTACTCAGAGCAGCCCTGTTTTGAAACTTCCCTTCTGGTACTAGGCAGTCATTAGAATTTTTCATAGTGAAATAAAAATTCTACTGATAATTGCTTAATTGCCTACATACACTTTTTAAAATCAGACTTCATAGCATAATAACCTTGTCATTTAGGGGATATTACACATTCTTCTAATGTAGATTAGGAAAACTGAGTCTCCCAAAGGTTAAATGACTTGTCCCAAGTTTCACATTTGCTTGTAGAAGTGCTGGGAGGGGAGTGAGGCTATTTCAGAACCAAAGTTGGTGCATTTGACTTCAGGCTGTGCTGTGTATTTTAGGAGACAGGAAATAAAACTGTGCGCAGGCTTGTTTTTGTCAACATGATTCAAACCAGAATTGTGTTGGAAGAAGGAACCTGGTCTGAGACAATTCCTCCACATCACATTGGCCTGTAGGCAAGTCTGTGTTTGTCGCCTTAATAACTACTCGTTCATCCTATCGGGGGTGGTGCAGATCTGTACCCCTGGGCAGATGGTCCCAGGGTACAGAGAGCTGAGGAAGCCGTGAAGAACAGGCTAGTGAGCAGTGCTCTTCTGTTGGCCTGCTTCAATTCTTGCCTCAGCTTCCCTCTGTGATGGAAAGCTGTAAGATGAGATACGCCCTTTTCTCCCCAGCTTCTTTTTGGTCATGGTGGTTTGACACAGCAATGGAAAGCAAACTAGGACAAGGAACAGTTTGACAAATATGAGGCTACTCCTTGCCTGCTGGCATTAAGCCAAGAGGAAACTGCTCCCATGGGAGTCAGGGAGCAATCCATCTCCACCCAGCATTCTTCTGAGCTCTAAGGAGCAAAGTGTGGGCGGGTTCACTGGCAGATCCAACTCCAGCAACACAGACAACACTAGAGACCAGGAAGACAACTCATGAAACCTCGGAGCTAAAAACCTCTCCTAACCTTACTTACATAGTGTATGTGGCTAGACAGTAGCTATTATCACTCAAAATACCTTGGCAATAAAGACATGGACTACACAGGGCCATGTACTTCATAAAGTCAGAGTCCCCCACGGTTCTCCATAGACCACACAGTCTAACTGTGTTGTTAGTCTAACGAGGTGTTGAACAGTGAACATTGTAACTCATGTCTAACCAGCATTTGCTTGCTAACTTCCAAAAGCATGCCACTCCCAGTTTTTGATCATTATCTGTTTGGTTTCAGAGTTTCCCATGAGCTTTCCCAATGTTTTATGGACTTTGTTAAAATCTTTTTTTTTTTTGATATTTATTTGCTGTTTATTGGATACTAGTTATTACATGTAAATGAACAAAAAAAATGGCTACCTAGGGGGTAGCAATAGCCCAGGAAAATTTGGAGTTTGGCTGTGGACCTGCAACAGTCCAGTCTCAGGCAGTTCACTCAATTTGCCTTGCAAAATCTCAGCTGGAAGGTGAAGGATTGGTTTGTTTGTTTGCTTATTGTTTGGGACTTTCATTCAAAGTTTTTTTTATTATTATTATTATTTAACTTTTTTTATTTTTTTATTAATTACACTTTATTCATTTTGTATCCCCCCATAAGTCCCTCCCTCTTCCCCTCCCGATCCTACCCTCCCTCCCCTTTCTGCATGCATGCCCCTCCCCAAGTCCACTGATAGGGGAGGTTCTCCTCTCCTTTCTGATCTTAGTCTATCAGTTCTCGTCAAAAGTGGCTGCATTGTCCTCTTCTGTGGCCTGGTAGGGCTGCTCCCCCCTCAGGGGGAGGTGATCAAAGAGCAGGCCAATCAGATTTTGTCAGAGGCAGTCCCTCTTCCCATTACTAGGTAACCCACTTGGACACTGACCTGCCATGGGCTACATCTGTGCAGGGGTTCTAGGTTATCTCCACGAATAGTCCTTGATTGGAGTATGAGTCTCTGGGAAGTTCCCTGTGTTCAAATTTTCTTGTTCTGTTGCTCTCCTTGTGTTGTTCCTGTCCTCTCGAGCTCTTACTATTTCCCACTTCTTACCTAAAATTCCATTCACTCTGCCCGTCAGTTGGCCATCGGGCTCAGCATCTGCTTTGATAGTCTGCAGGACAGAGGCTATGACTACATACATGCTAATGTCTGTGTGTGATCCACATAAACTTCCCACCACCACCAAAAAATACAATTTAGCTGAAAAGAGCCCGACTCTTCCGTAAGATGGTGACACATGACAACAAGTGACAGCATCGCCACTGTTAGATAGCATCTCTGTGAGTATTCTGCCAGACAAATCATGTGCACAGCCTGTGAAATGTTGTTATAATGCATGTATTAGCTTATTAAAGTGATAGCTGCAGAGAATAGATACCGACAGCCTCAATTTACAGATCAGGACGCTAAGGCTGTAGAGAGATTGAGTAGCTTTCCATGGTCACCCACTGGTGAATATCTACACTATCATTCAATAGAGCATCCTCTGATGTACGTATGAAACCCAAAGACTGTAGCCTCACGGGGTTTTTATTACGTTGAAAGTCAGTTTGAACCAGCAGAGTCAATGTGAAATTGAACGACTTAGAAAGGAACGGACTGATTCACATCGACAGCTGCCGGATCGCTGTCAATCTTCATCCACTTGAGTGGCTTTGGGGTCACCATGGAAACGGGCCTGGGGGAAGTCTATGTGTTCATTTCTAGAATGGTTTCACTAAGGAGGGAGACTGTGGACAGCTCCGGCCTACAGGCTGCATCCCAGAAACCACGTGACCTGCAGCCTCGCGCCCTGCTGCCGTGCCTTCCCACCGTGAAGACTGTGCCACCTTCAGACTGGGCGCCAGACCAAACCCTGCCTTCCTTGAGATGCCTTTTTTTAACTAAGGTATGTTTGTCACATAAGATAAGTTTGCATCCTGGTATGTTACATAAGCCCAAAGAATGTATTTAATATAAAAAAGTCATGAAATGGGAGACTATAAGAAAATAAAACAATCTGTCCTTTTGTAATAAGTTACATTTTACTAAAGAGTTACACAAATGACCCCTTTGCATCTGTTCTCAGAGTGAGTGGACTTTGCCACTGGCCTTGGTAGAATGAGTCTTTCTAGAAAAGTGGAATGAGGGTATATGCTTATTTCCTTTTCCAAAGGAATAATAACAGAGTTTTAAAGGGTCTGTTTGCTTATCATCGATCACAACCAATGTTATCTCTAAAATGCTGAATGTCAGATTGCTTTTTGACTTAAAACAATAACAACAACAACAACAACAACAAAATAAAACCTTATTAACTATTCAAAGTACCATGGTCAATCTGAGAAAAATGTCAACATCAGCCAAGTACTATCTACATTATAATTTGTATATCTAATAATATTATGAACAAAAGAAAAAAAAAGGCTGTGCAATCTAGGCAATTGAAATAAAAATACAGAGGAAAAGCACAGATTAGTATCCCAACAATGACACTCACAGTTGTCGCTGGTTTAACAGCGACCACCTTATACAACTGCCACTATGCTGAGTCTGCACAGCTGGCTTCCTCCCTTCCTTGCCCTTAAGTAACTAGTTCACCAGGCCATGCAAATAGGGGCAATATGGAACCTGAACCGCCCCCAAACTGTAGCCACGGATGCTACAGTGTTTGCTAGAACACACTGGAGCAGGACACCAGCTGTCGTGAGTGTTGATCTGCTGTTTCTCTTGGCTTTCGAAATATGTCACAATGTGTCTTCCTAGAAGCATATGGAACTCATTTTTAAAAACTCTGAGATCTTAGGAAATACTATTTCTTAAACATCATCTACAAAACTGTTTTTGCTTTGCTGACTAAGCTACATTGAAGCTTTTTGGATTGCAGCTTCTCAGATTCCTGTCTGGAAGCCATGAATAACTTACTAACTCCTTCCAATCAGTAGCTCCACCACAGTCAGACACCCCCACAGACAAACCCCTGAGGGAATGAGATCCTACTCCTCAGCAAACTGAAATGCCATGCTGGGTTACATCCCACCTTTAAATATTTTGTATAAACCTTTTTCAAAAGTATTCCTCTGGCCATTCTTTGAACATTTTCAGTGCGGGACATTTTGCATCTGAACGATTTTTGTTAGAGACTTGGTCTCCAATGTGTTTACTGAAAGTCTGTTTCCATTGTTCTCACAAGAGCCCACGTATTTCTGAGTAAGGGGAATTACAATTACCTTTTAATTAAACTGATTACTCCAACCACACCAGCTCCTATTAGGAAAGCTGGACCCACCAAAATAAATTAACTATTTAAATATTTGGAACATAGATGATTTCTAGAAATTATTTAAAATTTAAAATTATTATATAGCCAAAGTAAATCAATATTCCATAAAATTAGAATATATTGAGGAACTTGCTTAGTTCATACAACAGCACAATTTGGTTTTTAAAAAAAATGTGTAATACCAAAAAGCTCTATGTATCTTTTAATATCACAGTGCAAAAAACTATACATGGGAAATAAATTAAAAATTAATATGCTCAGGTAAAGAAAAAACTTCTTACTCTGAATTTGAACAAACTCTCTTCCTGCTGTAAAGGCTTTCTAAATCCTCTATGATGCTATAATTACTAAGAGAAGATATGACCGATACACACTGAGTAAGTTATGGTTTCAGATCTGCATTGGTCACCATCATATACAAAACCAAGGTCCAGAGCAGGACTTAAGGCAACAGCATGATCTTCTTCTTCCTGTGGCTTGGGACTGTGCCATACTAAGCTCTTTATCATTTGACACAACTTTCCCAACCATATATTTTAAAATGTACACTTCCAAGATAGTTTCTTCAAATGTGCCCCGTTACCCTTCTGTCCACTGCTAGGCGTGAAAGTATGAAGCAATCACCCACCTATCCTCTTGATCCTGAATGCTTATATAGAACCTTCATCTAGATTTACCTCTCTTTTAAATCCCCTTTTGTTCAATAATGTTTTACCCTCTAAACCTAAATCTTATGCCTCACTAGGCACTGTTTTCTGTTTTTTTGTAACTACAATTCAGTGCTTTCTTAGGTGGCAATAATCCCTTCATCCTTCATGCATCCTAACATTTCTTTAGGAGCATTAAAGCTTTTTTTTTTTTTTTTAACTTTGGGGAAAATGAAGATCAACTGCCTTTCTTGACTTTCGTAGTGGATAGAGTAGGCTTTTGAAAAATCTAAGCCTACAGCTTTCACTGGTTCACTGGCTTTTTTCTTGCCTCCTCCCTGTCACTGTACAGCAAAACATCTTTCACACACCACCTTTTTAAGCTCTTGGATAGCAAGTGTTGCGCAAACATCCTCCCCAAAGTAATGTTTTCATCATATACGGTAATCCACTAGATATGCAAATCAATTCTGTATCTCATTTGCCTTATTCCTAGTGATCACATGCCAGTGAGCGATTTCAGCACGCCCAGTGATGCATTACAACCCAGTTTCCAGTGTCCACTGTGAATGTCCATGACACCTGTTTTGGCCCACTGACACTGCCCACACTCACCTACAGGGACCTCAGTCACCTGCTATCTGCCACCCTGTATGGTGTGGCCTCGTTGCTGTGATTTCCAGCTTAATGTCAACCCGCACCAACTGGCCCTGAGCGTGGGGCCCTTCCCACACCTGCTTTTCTTCCCCATCACAGCCTGGATACTCAGCAGTACAGTGCTCCTGACAGTGCCCGAGCTCACACAATGAACTTTTGGTGCCAGGACATGATGACCACCTGTGACCCATGCCGCAGAGGCCATGAGACTGGGACCATCGTCCAGGGCCAGGTGAATGAGCAGATGCTGGCTATCCAGAAGAACAGCACCTGCTTCATGGAGTGGATTGGCAACAACATCAAGGTGGCCGTGGCTGACTTCCTGTCACGGGGTCTGGAGGTGGCCTCCACCTTCCTTGGCACCAATACCACATTCCCAGATGTGCTATTCAAGAGCATGTTGGGGCAGCCCTGGCCACGTTCCACCACAAGGCCTTCCTGCGCCAGTTTGCAGGCACAGGCATGGGTGAGGAGTTAGCCGAGGCTGAGGGTGACATGAACCACATGCAAGCCGGTGTGGTGACACAGCCTTTAATCTCAGGACTCAGGGAGGTGAAGGCAGGCGGATCTCTGTGAGTTCGAGGCCAGCCTGGTCTAAAAAGCAAGTCCAGGACAGCCAAGGCTACACAGAGAAACCCTGTCTCAGAAAACCAAACCAAACAAACGTCCTATACTGCACACACACACTCTTTCCTTTAGCCCTGATGGTACAGGAATAGTGCCCTAATGGTCCAAGCCTGTCACAGGTCCCTCTCCAGCCAAACACACCACACCTTTCCCCAGTTTATGTGGGACACTGCTTTCCCAGAACAGAGAATTGGCAAGACAGTTCTTCAAGAACAGGAAGATCTTGAACTGAACACTTGAATGCAAAGTAGAGGCCAGTTCAGGGCTCAAGAAAGCGACCACCTCCTGTTAGTCGTCCAGCCATTGGAGAGAGCAGGGCAGTTAGAATAAGAGTTTGTTTTTCATCCTTGGTGATAAAAACTAAAGCTGTATAGCATTGCCTTAATTGAATATGTAATATTGAACTTTGTGACATTCCATTCATAAGAAAATGCTAAACCTGTAAAAAAATAAGCCTTATCTACTTAATCAATAAATTATGAGAGAATTAAAACCAGCATCTTTTATTCATTCAGAAAATAGATTTGTTATTACCAAATATCTACCACAATCAATCACAGCAGAACTCACTACTAGACAGCTATTAAACTGTCAGCAAATTTGCAAGAGAGGACCACAGCATTGCCCCACTGTCTGATGAATACAATAGCTTTTATTAATGTTCTTCTTGAGAGTAACATTGCAGAAGCCAGACACTAAGGCTTGTAAGTGCAAACACATGCATGATAAGTACAGGGCAGTGCACTGTGCTTTCTCAATATTTATAATTAAGTTTCTCTTTTTGATTCTCTGTGCCAGAACCTGAGGGAGGGATGGCCATGATATTAACATTAATTATTAGCACATGGATATGAACAAACAGAGACTAATTTATTATAATGCTTTAAAACTGTCAGTCCCAAATAAGTGACTAAAAGCTAACAAAACTCTTACCAGTATAATTTGTATAAACACGGAGATTAATAACTATAACCTTCCCGTCAAATCCTGGGGTTCACATTCGGCAAGTAGGGCCAGGGCATATTCTGTTACTGTTAAAAAAAAAGGTGCATATTTTAAATCACAAACTATATTTTAATAGCTTAGTTTGGCAAAATGTTATGGTCAGGTCAGAAAACAGCATTTATTCTTGAATATTTGAACCACAGGAAAGAGGACTAAGTGTTCATGGTCTGGTGTGTTGGAGAGCTTTATGTAAAAGAAGACCACATACTCACTCTGCCTGTGTAAGCCACTGAGAGATACCCAACACACAGTGGGTAGGGAGTGCATCTCGGTGCCCGTCTGCCTAGTTTTCCCTAAATAAGACGATCAGAAGCTCGGGAACCAGTGTATTTTGAAAATACAGCCTATTTGCTGGCATTGAATAGTCCACATTAAATCGCTTTGGCAACCTTACATGAATAAATTAGTTGAAAGGTTAGTGTAAGATTTACATACCAGAAGAACACGACTCTAGAGATGCTAGACTCAAGACAGAAAAACAATAATAGAATAAAATAAAATAAAAGAGGAGGAGCTACATGTGAAAATACAAAGTAACGCCATCCCAACGATAGAATCCTTGAACCCAGAGGGCGGCTGGCATTCAGGACCGGATCCCAGGTCCACAGAAGAAATGAGTCTGTCATAGCACATCTCTGTTGCCACCATCACCAATATCACATGCAGCACTGAAATGCCAGGGAAGGCAGGACGAGCGGGCACACTGCAGATGGCACCGCACAGCATGGATGCATTTATCATTTTCTGGGGCATCTCTGCCAGAAGAGGCGACCCAGCTGTATCACCCATCAAAGATTTCTGCCGACTGACGTGACACTGCAGATGGATTTTTTGTGTGTAAGAATGTGCATTATTATATGCAAGATTGCATTAATCTTTCATGCCTGTCTGTTCCTGGTGCCAGCATGGCTCACACTTTTCCTATGATGTTTTGGGGTATTGTTAAAAATTATTGGTCTACCTGTCTGAGAGGATAATTCTGTGTCCGGTACTGTTATATTGTAGTTTTCCTTAAGCTTACTCAGACAAAACAAAATTTGTAAGTCCCAAACAGAGGAAAAGTATAAGAAAATTCAAAGAATCAATATTAATAAAGTTGCAAGGTTACATTATCATGGAAGAAGTATGCTAATAATTCATTTATGACTATATACATAGTAACAGACTTTCAATGCAATGTAATAAGAACCAGTACACACACGTTAAATATCATTAGGGTTGTTTTAAAGAAACAGGTAAGCTATGAAGGAAGATTTTACATCTGAGTTTTATGCCAAAGCTTACTTTTGAAAAAAATAAATAAATACTTTACAAACTTCACTTTCAAGTCATATTTTACTAAATGATTTTTATTTAAGAGTTAGAATAGTCTAGTTTTCATGATTTCCTCATTTTTTATTGCTGAGTAGTATTCCATTGTGTAAAAATAACACAAAGGGAAGAACAGTCTTGCTAGGCCACAGAGGAGGACTTTGCAGCCAGTCCTGAAGATACCTGATAAAACAGGGTCAGATGAAAGGGGAGGAGGTCCTCCCCAATCCCTGGACTTGGAAAGGGGCAGGGAGGCGATGAGGAAGGGAGGGTGGGATTGGGAGGGAATAAGGGAGCGGGATACAGCTGGGATATAGAGTTAATAAAATGTAACTAATATTAAAATTTTTTTAAAATGGAAAAAATAGTCTAGTTTTCTTTAGCATCTCAAATGGAATTTGATTACACCCTAATGTAACATGTCCGAGCACAGCAATCTTTTTTAATTATTATTTTTATCTTTTATTTTATGTACTTTGGTGTTTTACACATGTGTGTGAGGGTGTCAGATCCCCTGGAACTGGAGTTACAGACAGCTGTGAGCTGCCATGTGAGTGCTGTGAACCCAGGTCCTCAGAAAAGCAGCCAGTGCTCTTTACCGCTAAGCAGTCTTAATGGATATTGGATAAGTTAAAAAATAATTCCCTTTTTTGGGGGCTGGACCAAAAAAAAAAAAAAAGTAAAGAAAAAAATGAAAGAAAGCTGACTAAGAAAGCTATCTACAGGTATAAAAAGTTTTAACAGGAGAGATAAAATAAATGGCCTCAGAAGATACATAACATATTCTGGTGAAAAAAGAATATATGATATCAAATAGTAAAAAATGATTATAAAGGAAAAGAATGCAAAAAGGTGGAAAGGATAAACTGTGGTTTTTATAACTCTGTGAAGGAGAAAGAATGACACTAAGTAGCCAGAGCCACGGTCATCCCATCGAAAGTATTCCCGGACAGCAGGTGCTAGACAAATCTTTTTATTTTTATTTTTTGGTAACTGGGATACTGCTTTTCTGTCTACTTTCCTTTTCTTAAGAAATAGCAATCTGGATCCTGAGATAGCACCATTCCTAGTTGTCTGAGAAAGCTCCAGACTGATTTCCAAAGTGGTTATACAAGTTTACATTCCCAACAGCAATGGAGGAGGGTTCCCCTTTCTCCATATCCTCTCCAGCATGTATTGTCACTTGAGTTTTTGATCTTAGCCATTCTAATGGGTGTAAAGTGAAATCTCAGAATTGTTTTGATTTGCATTTCCCTGATGGCTAAGGACATTGACCATTTCTTTAAGTGTTTCTCTGCCACTTGATATTCTTTTATTGAGAATTCCCTGTTTAGATCTGTACCCCATTTTTTCCTTTTTCTTTTTATTAATTATAGTTTATTCAGTTTGTATCCCCCCTGTAGCTCCCTCCCTTCCCCTTCCCCACCCATGTCCCTCCCCCAGTCCACTTGCACCCCTTCCTTCTGGTCCTAGTCTATTAGGTCTCATCAGGAGTGGCTGCATTGTCTTCCTCTGTGTTCTAGTAAGGCTGCTCCCCCCTCAGGAGGAGGTGATCAAAGAGCAGGCCAATCAGTATCTCATTTTTAATTGGATTACTTGATTTGTTGCTGTTTAAATTCATGAGTTCTTTACATATTGTGGATATCAGCCCCTCTGTCAGATATAGAGTTGGTAAAGATCCTTTCCCAGTCTGTAGGCTGTCATTTTGTTCTGAGGACAGTGTCCTTTGCTTTATAGAAGCTTTTCAGTTTCATGAGGTCCCATTTATTGATTGTTTCTGTTAGAGCCTGTGCTGTTGGTGTTCTGTTCAGGAAGTTGTCTCCTGTGCCAATGAGTTCAAGGCTCTTCCCCACTTTTTCTTCTATACCACTCCTAGGCATATATCCAAAATATGTTCAAGTACACAACAAGGACATTTGCTTAACCATGTTCATAGCAGTTTTATTCATAAGAGCCAGAATCTGGAAACAACCCAGATGTCCCTCAATTGAGGAATGGATACAGAAATTGTGGTAAATTTACACAATGGAATACTACTCAGCAATTAAAAACAAGAAAATCATGTGATTTGCAGACAAATGGTGAGAACTAAAAAAGATCATCCTGAGTGAAGTATCCCAGAAGCAGAAAGACACACATGGTATATACTCACTTATAAGTAGACATTAGACATTTAATATAGGATAAACATACTAAAATCTGTACACCTAAAGAAGCTAAGCAAAAAGGAGGACCCTGGGTAAGATGCTCAATCCTCATTCAGAAAGGCAAATGAGACAGACATCACATCAGAAGAAGGAGAAAACAGGGAACAGGACAGAAGCCTACCACAGAGGGCCTCTGAAAGACTCTTCCCAGCAGGGAATCAAAACTATGCTGAGACTCATTGCCAAACTTTGGGTAGAGAGGAGGGAATCTTATGAAAGAAGGGGGAGATGAAAGACCTGGAGGGGATAGGAGCTCCACAAAGAGAATAACAGAACCAAAAAGTCTGGGCACAGGGGTCTTTTCTGAGACTGATATTCCAACCAAGGACCATGCATGGAGATAACCTAGAATCCCTGCACAGATGTAGCCCATGGCAGCTCAGTCTCCAAGTGGGTTCCCTAGTAAAGGTGCCCTAATAAGGGGAGCAGGGGCTGTCTCTGACATGAACTCAGTGGCTGGCTTTTTGAGCACCTCCCCCTGAGGGGGTAGCAGCCTTACCAGGCCACAGAAAAAGACAAGGCAGACAGTCCTGATGAGACCTGATAGGATGGAAGGGGGGGAGGACCTCCCCTATCAGTGGACTAGGAGAGGGATATATGAGGAGAAGAGGGAGGGAGAGAAGAAGAGGGAGGGAGAGAAGATGAGAGGGGCTACAGCTGGGATACAAAGTGTATAAATTGTAATAAATTAAAAAAAAGAAAAAAAATCACAAAAAACCAACACCAACCAACCAAACAAAAGAAATAGCAATCTGTAATTTACTGTTTGAGTTCATAATTGACTGTTCTCTACTGCTCTTCTACTCAGGGAGCTACGTCTAGGGCAGTAATGTCTTGAGGCTAATATCAAATATCCACAATGAGTTTGAAATAAAGTCAGATGCAATCTGATTTAGCAAAGGCACAGGTCTTGGCCTGGTGCTCAGATTTTACTCTGAGACAGGATTCTGACATATCATTACTTCCTCTTCTTCAAGCATCCAGTAAAGCTCAACCAGACCAACATGGCCAGCTGCTAACACATTTTTTTATCTGGTGTCCCTACCCCATACACATACCTTGTGACTAAATTTCTTCAGACAGCCTAGTTTTCCACTGAGTAAAATAACGAAAGAGAAAGCTACTAAAGTAGGGCCCACAGAACAAATGAGAAACAGCCTTAAGCCGTAGGACCAAAAACCAAAGGCATGACCCCAGGAAAAGAAGGCCGAAAACCAAAGGCATGACCCCAGGAAAAGAAGTAACACGAGCCCACAAGTGTTCCACTTTCCGAACAACCCCTACCCCATACCTGCCCCGCTGCAGGGCCCCAGGAGGCAGAATTATCTGGTGATTAGGCATCTCCAGGGGCCCTGAGCTGACAATGATCACGGCTAAATTCAGAGAAGCTTCTTTAAACCGTGATGAGGATAATGACCATGGAAGGCCTACCACCTTCATCAGTGCAAGTGTGGCTGAAGATCAAAGTGTCTGCTGTGAATACACAGAAGGTCACAGAGCTTGGTTACTCAACAGGCCAGAGAGAATGCACTGCTTCTGTATCATTACAATGGACAACATTAACCAACAATTGTAAGAGGGTAACTCTCAGCTCTTGCACCCTAGGCAGTTTGTAACGAGCACAAAACGGTTCAGCCAATAAGATACAAGAATTTATGATGCAGCAAGCTATGTGTGGCCTGGATCAGCTGATACACAAGCAGGGATAGAGGAAGTACCTTCTCTTATGTACACAAAGGCAGTGAGACCACACTCAAGGACGTCAGAGCTGGTCAGTAGCATGGCGCTCTGCCTCTAGGATAAGCTCCTACGCTGAGGCTCCTTGTGCGCACACTCCCTGTACTGCAGCGTGCTACCTACCCGCTCTTCAGCTCCTGTCCATGTGAACCGTGCTACTCTACCAGGAAAACTGGAACTAGCTAATAGCGTGATAGGATTTTCTCTGATTTCTCTACTTCCCTAACTTTACACTTTATTGTTCTATGAATTACCCTATCACCCAATGACCTCTCAAAACTCTAGCACCTTTCATGGTACAAACTCTACTGCCTTCTTTATTTTGAGAGCAAGAGAGAGAGAATATGTTATTCATTCTCATCTTTCACCACTGGGCCAATATATTTTGAGTACGTATTCTTCTAGGCTTTTCCAGAAGCTTTAATGATGCTCTTGATAAAATCCTACATTGATGGAAGCAGTATCATGGTGGCCTACAGTTTTAACTTGAATATTTCAAAACCTACAGATTCATATTCAGAAGAGGTTAGGGTTTCGATACAAACAGACGTCAAACCACTATAAATTTATGAATGTATAAGATCTATGTTTAAAATAAATATGTGGAAAAGTATTATATGTAGGTACAATATTCAAATCATGATGAAAACTAACACAGCATGGCTTCCTAACTAACCAACCATCACCCAGAATTTATGTAACTTCTATTCCACTTGTACTCATCAAAGTAAAGTGGCTGTGTTAAAACAATGAACAAGTAGTAAGTGTGTGTTCTTTTGCACTGTTTTTTATATAATTTCTTCCTGTTTAAAGGTGAATTGAATCCTGTTACATAATTTTATGAAAAGGAAACTCCTAACCTAAGGATCATATTTGTATGACACTTTAAGCAAGATAGGCAGAAAGTCTGAAAAGTTTCCAGCATCCATACATTTGTTAAGTCTTTGACACACAACAAAAACATTTTGATGTAAACGATGCGCTGTTAAACAAAAGAAAACCCTTTCTTGGGCAGAGGATGCAACTGTGTAGCTCTACCTGTAGGAGGCGTGGGAGGCAGCTAATAATTAGCTATTTTGTACAAATAGAAACATAAGTATGCTTTCTGAGATATCTTAACGGTACAATTATGATGTGAAGTGCAAATTTTATGCTGAAATATAATAGATCATATTTAGGAATTTGGAAGATACCCCAGGACATACTTCCCTCGAATATACAACTTTAAGAAGAAAATCTCACATCCCTAATACTTCCCCCTCAGTTCAGGAACCATGCCCTGACATGTGCCCTCCTAGTCTTCCTCCTCTTCCTGCTCCCCCTCTTCTTCCTCCTCATTTTCCTCTTCATTCCCTAATCTTGATTTAGCTCATGAACTCCTGCCTACCAAGCCATATTTTAACACTATTATTTAAAAAAAAAAAATCTAACAACTGTAGATCAAGATGTGATGAGCAAATTGCTGAGTGCAGCATAAGCTTTAGCCATCTCTGGACTCAGGACTGTGTGGGATGCATTGATGGGGCCTCCCTAAGCCACTTTGATCTTCTCCCTTAATGGAATTTACACTCAATTCAGACATCTTTCTTTAGCCTCCAACTGAGGGAATGTACCCTCAGGTCCAGGAGAGGAAACAATTGTCTTATGTTGGACACAGATAATGAAACCAAAAACTGTTTCGGTGCATGTTAGGGTCTGCCTCTCTCACACATACACACTGTCTTCATTCCACTGGGTAAGAATAAGAAAGGGTGCAAGTTAGTGGTCAACTGCTTTATGAAGATGAGAAAAACCAGATTTAACACAAATTCAAAACTATGCAGGGATAGACAAATTATAAAATAAATTCCCAAGATATCATGATATTATGGATCCCTTTACCATCCCCTCCTCTTTCTGCCACCGTACTTAAGTAAACCTGCTACTCCTCTTTCCCCTCCCATTTCTACCTCCTGTGCCTCTTAAGAAGTATCTGGTTGGTGTGGTTTCTTAAGCCTTCTCATCACCATTAGTATCACCTCCAGACAACAATTGTTTATCCATATGCCAAAACTACAATATTCAGGTTTCAGTATCTGTCTGAGTCATCAATAGCCTTGTTTTCTGCACAGAACAGTAATACCGTAAGAGGTTGTTTGCTTGTTTGTCAGGCTTACCTCCAAGCTGGGGCACAGGTTATGCAGTTGCTTCAGGCCCAAACACAAGGGGCTACAGTGCCTAAGTTTCAGCAAGAGATTCGGAAACTTAGGGATGCAGAGCAATGTCCATCCAACTGCTGTGTAGTGTTCACGTGTGGAAAATGGAAGCGTTATTAATTAGCGTGATAGTCATTTTAGATCTCCAATCTTTCCAATCTTTGAAACTATTTAAAAGAAATAGGGATGAATCTGAATTATATGTTTTTCTTGTCAATCCCTTGTAAGTAAGCCAAAACCTATGGCCATAAAAACTATTTTACTATAACTCCATTTTAACTTTTTTTTTCTCATTTTGGTATTCATTTCTTTTAAATATGACAGGGTCTTGCTCTGTAGCTCAGGTTCTCCTTAGCCCCACAGTCTTCCTCCTCATTCTCCCAAGTGCTAGGATTACAGGCTTGGGTTATAGAGGGCTCCTCCTCTGTGCCAGGAGCTCTTCTTTAACCTCCATGTTGGTACACATCATTAGGGTGAGGGAACATCCCACAGAGCTTCTTTAGAGAGGAACGTTCTACCTGAGCCCTTCATGACACTTAACACTATAAGAGCCATGTCTGTCACAGGTGAGCAAAGCCATGTCCTTCCTCCAGAGAGACACCATTATGGGTGGGAGACTCCAAATGTGCTCCCGAGTGGATCACTTAGACTCCATAGACTGCTTGTGTATAGCAAATTCCCTCTGCTATGGTGATGGTACTTGGGAACAAAGCCAGGAAAGTTCTGGCCTTAGGCAATGTGCACATTTCCTAGTAGCCAGGCCTAAGTGGAGTTTTAATAAAGCAGGGAATTCGGTCACCCCATTTAAAATGTCCAAAAAGATACTCCAGATATTCTTTCTATTAATTTTGGAATTAGCCATTTCCCATCTTCCTTAGTAAGAGGGTTAGCACACCCTTGCTTTCCACAGTCCGAGTTCTCCCTTTCTCCAAAATCAACTACAAGTTGCAGCCTGGTGCTTAGTTTTGACCTAACCAGCAGGGGTCAGGTTCAGAACACAAACAACCCAGGGGAGGAGCCTCGGGAAAACGTTCGGCAGAAATGTAAACATAGCAAATGTGTTCTTGAAATTGTCAAAAACAGTAGCTTAACAACATCTCATAACTGTCGCCCTGAAAGAGGCCTAAATCTTGTTATTTCAATACAAGATTGCACAGTAGGAAAGCAAACGTGATGAACCGCAGCTCTGGGGCGGACATAGGTTGGGGGCACAGAGGGAAGCTTTGCTGCTCTGAGCAGCTGCGCGTGCTTAGCTGGGAAGACTGTGTAGGTGCCCTGTGGAGTTTTAGAGGGTGAAATTACATACAGGCAGTAATTCACTCGTCACATCAGTCTTTATGCCTACAAGCTTCAGCAGAGGCTCCACCTTCTTGTAAAAGTCTTGGACAGATTCCTTCCTGCAACCCTGAGGGTTGAGGAGGATCTTGAGAGCCTTCCCCTGCCTGTGAAACCTACAACGAAAACAAGGAAGGTTAGGCTGCTCCTCAGTACAACACTTACTGATCTAAACAGCACCTCCTGTTTGCATCTTAGACTCTTGCTTGGATGTGGCTTTATTTTTCACCATCTGCTTTCTTGAAGGTGAAACGTGATTCTCTCACTCTTCAGATAAGTCATACATCATAAGAAGGGTTTTATTCAGAGAGAAGAGTATAAATAACAGCGACTGGTAAACGTGGAAACAATGCTGACGCATGCTCACCCACTCACAGATAAGGTGCTTCCTTGTGGAGACAGGCTGTGGGCCATGACAAACAGAAAGGTGTGTTTCTTCTACACAGACACGCGCGCGCGCGCGCGCGCGCACACACACACACACACACACACACACACACACACGCACGCATACGCACACGAGCTGGATAACTAATGACCTCAGGCTTGCTGACATCTGACCTACCACATGACTCCAGAGACAGAACTGAGCCAGCAGGGTTGGGTCATTGTTATCAACCAGTGCAGTGCATGTTGGGAGCTAAAAGGAGGGTTTAGGTCAGAGTTCAAATCCCTGAAGGAGGCAAGAGAGAAAGTGCGTTTCTCCTGGGGACTGGGAGACCACCCCCTCTCGGAGACAATTGGTCACTGGGCTGCCTCACATTTGGGGCTGAGATTTGACACTGCAATTTTCTGGGATCGCAAGATGCTTACCACCAAGACCCCAAGTGGAGCAGGTGCAGAGCAAATCGTCTGTAGTTAGGAACCATTTCTTTTACGGTAAGCTGCTCTCACAAGACAGCATTTTAAGGTTACAAAAGCAGTTAACGTCCACTTTTAATAAAAATCGTCATTGAAGATAAACAGAAGGAAATGTCCATTTATATCAAACTCTGTGTTTTATACCACTCTATGCTGAAGTCTTTGGACATTCCCAAGAAAACTTCATGGTCTCTGTTTTGATAAAATGAATAAATAAATAAATAAATAAATAAATAAATAAATAAATAAATAAATGAATAAAAATAAATAAATAAAATAAATAAACCTCATCAGCCTCCTGATTACGCACGCCGAGACCCCATCCACGCTCCTGCCTCATTTTTCCAGCTCTACTTGAGTGAGCACAGAGAATCCTGTAGCATAGGTGCTTACTCAAGCCCATCTGCATCCCTCACCGTTCACCCTCAGGAACACAGAGGCCCTGGCCCCAGCCTGTCCTGGCCGCACTGTCTTCAAAGCTGCTCTGGCCTCTCAGTACTGTGTACACTCCCAGACCCTTTCAGAAACCACAAATCCCATCCCAACCCCGGTCCTCTACTTCCCGCCATTCAACATTCAAGACTTAAGGACCTTTGTTTTCAATCCTGGAAAGATGCAGTTGGTTCTCTAAATGAGGAGTCCAAGGTGCAGGAGAGTCCAGACCCTCACCAGAGGCATGAAACACAGTGGGAGTTTATGGAGGTGTGGGTGTATGGGTGTGTGTGTGTGTGGGGGGGTGTATGGGGGTATGGGTGCATGGGGGTGTGGGTGTATGGGTGTGTGTGTGGGGGTGTATGGGGGTGTGGGTGCATGGGGGTGTGGGTGTATGGGTGTGTGTGTGGGG